ATTGGTACAATCTGAATGTAAAAAAGATGAATAGCAAGTCTATCTTTACACCTTCAGACAGGAGAAAGAAGCATCTCTTATTTTACAAATAAAGGCACCGAGCATCTTTATATTGTAAGGATTCTAAGGCATTAGAATTTAAATTTCAGGCACGCTTACTTTGTTCGCCGTGCCTATGCACTCCACCAATGCCCCCAGTGACAAAAACTGGTATGCCAACCTGCAGTTGTTGACAGATTCATGCAAAACATCAAAAAGGAAAGGTATGCCTGTTACTAATTATCATTGCATAGCTGGCCAGCTATTTATGAGAGATTTCAAGATTAAATCGTTGGGAACAAAAAGATTAATGGCATAACTCAGACAAAAGGGTTAAGCGGAAAAGTTACCATGGCATCACAAATTCCTTCATTTACCCAGTTGAATACTCAACATTATCACTAATGCTTCGAAATTAAATGGCATGGCAACTTAAGCTGCAGCAGTTCAATTTAATGATAAATTCCATTTTTTCCATATCACAATGGCACAATGCTACGTGATAAAAGCTGCAATAGGAAAATTTAACATTGAGCATCTTTTACTCGTTGCTGATTTAATGCAGATTGGCATTACAACGAGTGGGATATTCCATGGCAAGATTCATGCAACGATATAATCATATAATTCTACCTAGGTCTTGAGCTAGACATCAATGATTCCTCAATTGTCGCCACATGCGCTTGAACAACTTCCCATGTGCTAGGCCACGGGACCTGTAAAACCCGAAAACGTCGTTTTAGGCTTCGCACGCTTTTCAAAGCGCCGCGACGAGTTTTAAGTGAAAATTTCAATGTTGCCGGATTTTGACGGGATTAATTTTAGAAAATAGAGCGTAAAATTCTGATCGTTTCCATATATAGAACCTATATTTAATTATGAGTATTTTAAGAATTATAAATTTTGGAAGATTAGAAATGTCAATTCTACCCCTAGGTGTTTCTTAAGCAAAATCTACTTAAGTGAGGGCATGAGAGTCTTTTGGCATGTCTCATTTCTCCCTATTAGGCAAACCGAAGCCCTCACATTCTCCCCCATTCGGTCTTTTGCCCAAACCGAGCGGACAAGAGAGGGAGAGGCGGACGGGTAGGAGGCGACGGGCTCTTCGGCGACGGCTCCGGCGGCGGTTTCCGGCGGCCAATCTTGGAGGAAAGCATAGGGAAATCCAAGGGAAGGTTAAGGTATGTGTTTTGCAAGAGTTTCTCTTCCTTTCCTTTGAGTTTTCCCTAAAGAATGAAAACTAGGGTTTTGAGAAAAACTTGATTTTTCTTTGAGATTTCTTTAGAAACCTTTTAGGGTTTGTTTGGATAAACTATTTTATACCCTACATGTTAAGGTTTCTCAAGAAAAACATAAATATGAAATTTAGGGTTTCTCTTTTTATATTTTATTTTGTAGAGATTGTTAGAAGAATGCGAGGGAAGAATTTTTAATTAAGAAATGCAAAGTTTTTTTTAAAGGAATTTTGATGAAAGGGAGGTTTTGGCATGCTTAAGGGATGAAATTAGCTTATTGTGAAAGTCTAAATTTTGGGGTTTAAGGTAAATCCGAAAATAACAGAGAGCTCTTGAGGAGAATTTGGAGAGATCCCTAGGAGAGCGAGATCGTATCACCCACCAACCTTGGAGACGACCGGGTTCGTGATTTTCTCTTTGTATTTTCGTCTTCCCTCACCACCTTCCCTCATTCTTCTTCGCCACATCCAACTCCACCACCAAATTCACCAACTTCTTCCCCACATCAAACTCCACAAAATTCTCCCCATAGCTGCCGGCCACCTTCACCCGACCCCCCACTTGGCCGCCAGCCTTAAGCCCCTAAACGCTGGCCACCTTCCCCTCTTCCCCCACTTTTTTTTTATTTTCCACTCTTTTATTTATTTTCTAATATGGGTTAAATATATTTATAATTATATTTAAAATTCAAATCTAAGTGATTTGAAATTCAAAATATTTCCTAATATACAAAATCTATTTTAGGAAAGTCATTAAATCTCAATCAAATCAATTTGCCATTGATTGGGATTTTAAAGTTACCCTTTCCAAATTTATAAATCCCAAACAAGCAAGCAATGAGCAATCCCTCTCATCCATTAATGCCGCCGGCCCCCTCCCCTTTGGCTTAGTTTAGGAAATCTTTCCTAAACTTCAATCCCCTCTTTTCTGAAATATTTCCAAGACCATATCAGCCGAAATTTTCAAAAGGGCCAAACATTAAATATTTTCCTAAAAATATGACATAGGAATTAGGAAACAATTCCACCTCCCATCTCCATATACCGCGGCCCCCTTCTCCTCATTGAATTGCTTTTGAAATCTCTCCTTAAGTGCAGCATATCCCTTTGGGAAAGATTTCCCAATCCTCTCTGCGGATGGCCGAAATCTCTCAAGCCCCTTTTCTTGGGTTTTCTCTCCAAACTCCCTCCCCTCTATTCACAAAACCTGAAACTTATTTCAGGTTTTGGTTTTGGCTCTCCCCTACAAGATTGTAAGAGAAACTTCTTTCTCTTCGACTATTTTCAAGGGCATCATCAAGCGTGAGGAGTTTTAACCACCGAGCACCCATGAATGGCAGATCCAAAGATTGATTATGGCATAACGTGGGACGAGGACGGGTTCGTCGACATCCTACAATCTACTTTCTTCGACGTGAATCCAAGGGTTGATCTCACCGTCGAGGATTACTTGGAGCATACGTTGATATATTTGGTAGAGGCTATTGACGAACACTTCGAAGGCATTGAGTGGAGGATCTCCACTACCCCTTGACGAAGGTTTCTCTCCCTACTTGCATCTTATCCCTTTTAGTCTAACTCCTCTTGATTTGATTGCAGTCACGACGGACTCCTTCGCATTGCTCCTGCTTAAGCTTAGTAAACGTAGGATTTGAGTGCACCTCTATGTTTTCTAATTCTCATTGTTAGACTAGGGATTATTTTGAAAGCTACTACTATTCATTGTGTTGTCTTTTATTTCTTTTGGAAGTTTGCAAAGCTCTCACCATGTGATTTAGCCTAAGCGGATAACCACTGATTGTTTTGACGCATTGTTTGAATTCGCTAGTAGTTTTGTTCTAGAATTATTCTCATCATAAGTTGTGCAAATCCATATGAGTTAAAGAGCATTTCATTTTCGTAGTCCTGCATCACTATCTTTACACCTTCAGACAGGAGAAAGAAGCGTCTCTTATTTTACAAATAAAGGCACCGAGCATCTTTATATTGTAAGAATTCGAAGGCATTAGAATTTAAATTTCAGGCATACTTACTTTGTTCGCCATGCCTATGCACTCCACCAATGCCCCCAGTGACAAAAACTGATATGCCAACCTGCAGTTGTTGACAGATTCATGCAAAACATCAAAAAGGAAAGGTATGCCAGTTACTAATTATCATTGCATAGCTGGCCAGCTATTTATGAGAGATTTCAAGATTAAATCATTGGGAACAAAAAGATTAATGGCACAACTCAGACAAAAGAGTTAAGCGGAAAAGTTACTATGGCATCACAAATTCCTTCATTTACCCACTTGCATACTCAACATTATCACTAATGAATCGAAATTGAATGGCATGGCAACTTAAGCTGAAGCAATTCAATTTAATGATAAATTCCTTTTTGTCCATATCACAATGGCACAATGCTACGTGATAAAAGCTGCAATAGGAAAAGTTGACCTTGAGCATCTTTTACTCGTTGCTGATTTAATGCAGATTTGCATTACAACGAATGGGATATTCCATGGCAAGATTCATGCAACGATATAATTCTGCCTAGGTCTTGAGCTAGACATCAATGATTCCTCAATTGTCTCCACATGCGGATGAACAACTTCCCATGTGCTTGGCCACAGGGACCCACCTATGTTGCCCACTTAGTCTCCCGCTCCCGCCCCTTTGCCCGATTGCTCTCTCTCTCTCTCTCTCTCTCTCTCTCTCTCTCTCTCTCTCTCTCTCTCTCTTCCCTCTCACCCCCCTCTCCCCCCCCTTCGCCCCTTACACTCCCATCACCAGCTTGCTCGCCTCTTCGTGGCATGAAGTAGACCTCTTTGGGTCAGTTCAATTGAACTGACTTAATGGTTCAATTCCACTCCATATTTTCTTTTTAATAATTTCCTATAAATGTTTTATTTGCTTAAATAAATAAAAATAACAAATAAATACTTTATTTTGAGCAATTAACCTATTTTAAATAAATTCATTCCAATGATTCAATCAATTTTTAAATTATCCATAGTATTTAAAATTAATTAAAATTTCTAATATTAATAATTCTTAGTTTGAGAAATAATAATTTGGGTCTTTTCACATAATATGCATAACAGGTGATCAGAATACATTGTACAATGACTCCAAATATTGGACTTAAGTGATACAAATGATCAAAATAAAGTTTCGTGATGATCATGAAATGATGTATAAAAATCTGAACTCACGAAATGATGTATAAAAAATCTGAACAAAAAGCAGAAGACCCACCTTAGAAGCAAAAAACATTGTAGCAGAAACAGTTGTCGCCCCATTTTCATGAGCTGCAATCTGCAGAATCAATATGACAGATGCAGAGAACTCAATTCCTCAAACTTCGATTTCCTATCCATAATAAATCTACCATGCATTGATGGTTGGACACAAAAAACCAACGCATAAATAAAAGCAAGTGGTGCATCTGTGACTGGAGACAACACTAAAACATTTTATGCTACATTCTAAATTAGCAGGAAAAAGAAAACAAAAAACAGTTTTCAGGCACTAGAAGAAGCAACCAAAAAGTATTAGATTGCAGGTATCTATATGATTGAACCTCATTACATAATCATATTAAATTAATCGCTAAGAAGACAAAGGAAAGGAGGTCTTTAAACGCTACTCACAACATGAGGAATGTCTCTGCGAGCTGTCTTTCGAGCATTGGATCCAAGTTTTGCAAGCCTTTCTAGTTGCTCGTCGTCCAAGCCTTTTGGAAATACAAATGAAAAATTAGCTACAACTTGTTATCTCATAACATTAATCAAAATGATAATAAAGAGAGCACATTATCACGCATACAAGAGCGCGCACAATCACAAACAACTTGGAATAAGATATATAAATTTGCTATAGCATACACAACATGCTAGCTGTTACAGCTAGTGAATTAGCAAAGCATACATCCACCCAAGGAAAAAAGTACAGGCATTTGATTGCAGACATGAATGGACAATTATTCAAAAAAAGATCTCAAATTGATGGTATAAGACTAATTTTAATGAAGAAATTTAGAAAAATATGTAATCTAAGCCAATTGGATTATTCTCATAGCATAGATACTTTGAATATTCAAATGGAAACAAAACCACTTGATTCTTAATTGCATGGGTATGAACTTGGCCATCAGTTCTTTATTCTGGCATCATCATTTAAATACTATGATGCAGGCATCGAAGCTGAAGCAAAGTGTCCAAAGCCTGAAAAAAAAATGAGGTGAGCTTCACACCATTTTTTATAATAACAAAATGGACTTCTAAAAGCAATTCTCTAAGATAGTCTAAGTTGCACAAAAAAAGATTCAACTTCTTATGCTAGGAAAGTTTGCGCACAAGAAGACTGGAATTGTGTGGAATTGAAACTTCATGAATTGAAATGATGTAAAAATTAAACATCGGGACACTTGATGGTTGGACGCAATTTGGTTATGAAAATTTGTCTGCATTGTTGCAGCTAGCAAGACCATTATTGGACTATTTCCAACGCAGGGATGAAAGCTTGATGCTCCTTATCAGCAGGGTCTCAAGTATTATTACTTCTTCGTAAGGGACAGCAAGTGACCAAACTGTAGAATAGAGAGATCATCAGTGAATTGCCATGAAAGACAGGTCACTGGTGATATTAAGTAGAGGAAAGCATCAAAGAGAAAAGGGACGGCAACAAAGATCCTGAACAAATATAGAGGAGATTGGAGTGGTTTCCAGTGGAAGAACCCTTGGAATATGAGGAGCGAGGGTACTTGCAGCCTTGGTAGACAACGATATTCTGAATAATTGCATACAACATTAGAGAGGCGGACGGCATCAAAGAAGTTAAAGTGAAGGGTGTTGTTCCAGCTAAAAGACCTCGCTACATAGGCAAATAAAAAAAAAAGAAAGATGCTAGAAAAAAATATAAGCAGCAATCTGAGATTTCATTTGGTGCAAAAAAAAGGGGTTTTGAATACTATGTAGGAACAATCTCCATCTTGAGTCGACCACTTTTTCCATCGCACTCTGCACTAGTTAACTGAGAAATTGTGAGAGTTCAACTTAGATACCACTTTTAAGTAAATCTTAGAAAAGTTACTTCATAGTTCCATACTATCATTTTACTTCAGTATATGAATGTGTGTAGACATATGGCATTATGGGCTATAAACCTACCAATACATGGAACGCCATCAAGTACTGCTATTGTTGCAGGAATAGCCCCATTTTGCTTCACAATAGCTTCAACTTCTTTAGCAGTCTCAAGATTTTGTGGATATGGCATGCCTGACAGAAAATGTCAATCAAAATATATCAGCTAAATATTTCATGCCGTATACAGATGGATTTAGCTCAGTAAAGAAGCAATTCAGCTCAGCTTAAGTTAGGTAATGCATGGAAACCAAATGATGCAGTAAGCAATGAAGAATTCTGCTGTGATTGCTTGTTTTTATAGTTAGAAGTAAATTGTAGGGATAAGAAAATGCTGAAGTAAAAATTAAATTGATGTCAAGCAGTCGCTAATTTTAGTGATTAGATATCCTAAAACTAAATCTAAACGACGCCCAAAATAATGTGTCAGCAAACTGGATTGTTTTTGGAGAAACAAATGTGCATAAGCGTAGCTTACAGCTAAACGTTGGGAAACTTCTGAGTAATAACAAGCTCTAGCTTTGCAGATATAATAGCCAGAGAGATACATTATAAATTATTCGATAGTCTTCATTCTTATACGTAGACCAAATATCATAATTAATACCTGCCCAGGCATTTAAGGCTTAAAAGCCGCAAAGCTAGTGATGATAGATATCCAACCTAATAACTTTGAGATGGACAGAAGCATAGCCATATTTGAAGATAGAAATCTAATCTATGAAAGTGAGTCAAGTGGGTAGAGCCGAATATCATAAATAATGTCTGCAAAGGCATATTGCTTGTGGTAAAGTTGGATAAGTAAACCAAAATATAATCAAAATTTAAATAGTCAATAATATGTTATTCATTGAGAGCATTAAACGTATTATTAGAACTATGAATGCAATCCTTCGATTATAGTTTTTGCCTTGGGATTGTCGAGACTTAATAAGAGGCAATGTTATGCATAAGGGTACCAAGAAGCATGTCGAGTCTGCCCATGAGATTAAAAAAAGTGTGTATGGGTGATATACAAGGTAACACAGTCAATATTTTGCCTCCCACCGCATCAAGAAAAATATCCTTGGTTGGTATACAGAGCACCTAAACAAGCTATCTTCTTGTCAGCCACACCTAAAAAGACATGAACATTCTGAAGGAGTTCCCTACATAAGAAAAGCACAAAATAAAACACAACATAACTTCCTCATCGTGTCATTTTTATTACATTAGCATTGTGAGGGTCAAAAACTCCCCTTCTTTATCACCTAATACTTGGCCTCGATTGATCATGGTGCGTTGTGACGCCTACGTACAAGCCCCCGGGATTGCACCCTTCTTGAAGCATGTGCGGTCACTTAATGCCTCCAATTTCCAAAACATAAAGTGGAAAAGCCGCCCCCCTTAATCATTATTTCATTTTTTTCTAATATATATTAAATGCTATTTTTTAGTATTATTTATCATTACTACTATTATTTACTTTATAAATAGCCTTTTTCTATAATATTTATATGTGTGAACTCTCCCGTAAATTTTACGTCTCTTATAACTGACAAATTTTTATTTTCTCCTTGTGTGGCAGCTTGAATAATACGGAGGGCCTTCCAAGATTATTTTGATGTTTTAGAATCATTGAAACTATTGGTTTAATGGGCCGTTGTTGAGTGCTTTTCTTCACATAAATGGGACGTCATCATTACATTTGATCAAATAAGCATGTGAAACATGTGGACATCAACACAAATCCATCACTAGAACCAACATGTCATCCATAATCTCAAAAAATGTAGGCAGTAATATTGGTCATTTACGTCATAATGATTTTTGCATTTTTATTTACATTATAGCAATTATAAAGAGAAAATGTAATATAATCATGCATATTAGTCATTCTCCTCATGTGGTCCTCCATGCATGAAAGCACAACAGGGGCAAACAAGAAACTCGAATAATGATGATTCACAAATAAGTAAATTTTTCAAAATTTGCATACTCAAAAGTGGAGCAAAACTTTAGGGATCCATATGGAATCTACCACAATAAAATACAATTCATTTTTTAGTTCTATTTTAAAAAAGTCAGGTATGTCTAAATTTTGAGGAATGTAAACCCAAAAAAAATTCTATTTATTATATCCAAAGATGCTTACCATGTGAAATTATTGTTGACTCCAATGCAACAACCGCATTGCCATTTTTAAGCGCATGATACACATTTGGGGCTACTTTCAAAAGTCTTGAGCATTCCTTTCCATCCTATAAAATCTTAGGACCGTTATCCAACTAAAGAATGTTTTAGAAACCAATAAAATACATGCATAAGCTTTATTTTCCTCATTTCAAGGAGAACAATATATTATTAAAAAAAACTCACCAACCATTTGAACTAAGTCCAGAATGAGATCAATCAAATTATCACCATCATCATTAGCATTATTCCAACCAACATAATCAATCAATGGATGAGCACGCATTCACAAAAATTAATTAACTAGGTTCCCACCACTCAATTATTTTTATATCATTACCTGAAAAAATATACAAGAGGCAGTTTGCAAATAATAAAACTATAACATTACAGTCACATTTCTTCATTTATGTGAGAAAAAAGTTAACTAGAAGAAAAAATATTTGTGAATTACTTGTACAATTTCACAAGTTTTGTTCTTCATGGAGGTTAATTTTATATTCTCAAGAAGGCTGGCAAGTCAAAATTCCATAACGGTTACTCATCCCAATTTGTGGATGACTAGATCAAAGACAATCAGAGAAAAATAGGAAATAAGATAATGTAAAGTGAATGTATTTAACAATAAACTGAAAGTATTTCAGATACACGTAATTATATTTATAAAGTGGTTGAATTTTCAATAATAAAGCAATGGAGTGTAAATTAGATATTTGCAAAGAGTTTTCTTTATGTCATTGTGCATGGTTCACCTAAGCTTTCATATGTTACAGGTTTACCTAAATGCTAATTCAACAATTAAAAATATCAACACAACAAATGGGTAAAAGCCTATGTATGTGAAAGGACTGCAACCATACAACAGTGCTTTTACTGATATAGAAATCACAAAATTGAAGAGTAATAACATTGTTGGCATGACCTATTTTTATCGGGAATAATGATAGTTTCTCTAAGATGATAAAAAAGATTCATTAGTTACACAGAAGGGGTAATATGAGTCCTAACGGCAATAATAAAGGAACTATGATAGTACCTAGACTAAATAAAAGAAAATAGTGATGAAGGAAAATAGAATCACAAAGTATAGGTATTTAACAAAAAAAGTCAGAAAAATATGGAATGCTCCAACCAGACATTTAAAAACCTTCAGTGTGAGCATGCAGAGAAGCATCCAAAATTTACATAGACAGTAATTTAAATAGTACAATTAGGACTATGGATATTATGAAGAAAGAAAATGAAGTTGACATATGCTTACATCATTCTAATCAGATCAGGCCAGATCAAGGTTCAAAACTTTTGCATTTCATTTGTGATCTTATCCAACGTGATACATTAATGACTTCATAACTTGGTTTTTGCTGAAGGTCATTTTTTTTTAGTTCCTTTTATAGGCATTGTTTGAAACCTGCTTCTTCCACTCCGGGTTTTGTAACCCAGATTAAAATTGCCTTTCACAATACCTTCCACAGTTTCCGCATATTTACTTTTAAATTAGTGGAAGTACTCCTACCCAAGCAATAATCTAGTCAATAACCTGTTCTTTAAAACTTTCTCTACTGTAAGACCCAAAATTATTCAGGTATGTGAAATTTAAATACAGTAAAAATATTGTAAAGATTATTATAAAGTTTAATGAAAAATTTATGTAAAGTTACTTTTAACAATAACTAAATGATATTTGATTTAACTGAATGATATTTAATTAAATTTTAAATCTAATAGTCAACAGTAGTTATAGTTCCTGTATAAGTTTCTTAAAATAAGCTTTATGTATTATTGAAGAGGCATTAAACAAGACTTTTGGAATGGAATATGGCTGTGGAAGTTCGGATAACATCAAATGGCAGTTATTTGGCTTGTGGGCCCTCCTTGTCCTTATATGCCGCAAGCCATCAAAGCCTCTTATTCTTATTACCTTGTTAGTTTCATACAAGCAGCAGAGAAGAGAAAATTGCAGAAATTCCTGTAGCAGAAGGCGGAGGATGTCCAGATCTGTGCAGGAATTACTGTAACTAATTCGCTGCAGTACCCGCAGCACTGTAGCAGAGCGAATTTCTGTGCGGTGCAGTTGGTAGCCGGGTGCACATAGTGGAAATTTTCTGGAAAGGTTTAGAGGAGTATTCAGCACTTTCTAGGAGGTAAAGGTTGAAGGTAATTTTGGGAAATTCTAGCAAGAATACGAAATTGATTAATTGATTTCTAGTAGTGCATTGGTTTAATATGAGTGTACAATTTAATTAAGGAATCAGTACTTTGGGGTAGAATTGTTATGCAATCAAGGAAATAACAGAAGTGGAAGAAGAAAGTTTAAAAAAGACGAAAGAGGTAAGTAATTGTTGGTGTGATAATATTTTTTATTATCTTTCAGACTTTCAACAAGTTGATAATAGTACCTAAAACAAGTATATTAATTATATTTTTAGGATTCATTGATTATATGCAGAAGGGAGGCTTTGAAGTTACTTATAATCGTAGAAAAAGGCGTAGTAGGGAATTGGAGCCGACGTCTCGGCAAGGAGGTAAGTGATGCAAGTAATTTTAAGATATATATACCTTATCATTAGATATGTACAATACTTATAATGGCACTTTGGAAAGTAGTCATGAAAATAGATGATTTGATATTATGTCTGTTTGATCAACCTTTTGTGAAATGCCTAGAAAAGAATATACTTACAAGTTTTCAAGTATTATTAACCACTTACATAAATTAATTATGTGAGTTTAAACCAAGGTGTATTATGTTCATTTAAATATTTTCCTTGTTGATAATGTTTTGGAAAGATATCATTTTCTTTACTTATTATGTGCATATTTATATTATACAATGAATGAATAAGAAAGCATGCAGCAAGTCAAGTATGGATAATGAATATGAGAGGTGTACTGAATATCAATTTAAAAAGTAAAGTTTGGCTAAAGATTTATGTATAAATTACCGATGCAGGTGGGGCAAAAGGGTCCCAATATATTAAAATGTTTGGAAAGTTGGGCAAAAGGGACTCCAAAGAAATGAAACCTGTAAAGCAGGTGGAGCAAAAGAGATCCCAAAGAGGCAAAAGGGGCCTCTATGTAATTCAATGGTGATAATGTCAGGTTTATCTGGGCTCCATTGAATATGTTTATAAATGAGTAGTCAAATCTTTTAAATGAGTAAAATTGATATTCAGTATGGATGTAAGAGGAATTACTGGTAATGTCAAATGAGAATTTATGAAGTTTGCTCAAGTACTCTAACTTTTATTTATGTTTTCAATATTCAAAATTTTATAATCATGCAATTTAAATGTTATTTCAAGTTGCATCATTTATGGAGTCTCATAGCTCACCAGTAGTTTATTATTAGCTGATTTTACAGGAAAGGGAAAGGTGGAAGAAGACTAATCTGCAAGTATTTACATTTTATGTTAATGTTTATTCTATATTTGAAGTCTACTTTTGAGGTTAGTAAGTTGTTTACATGTTGTACTACTTTGAGTTTGTTTGGACTTATTTAGTGACTCTGTAAATGTGTTTAGTGAGGTTTTAATTTGGAAGATGCTTCTGTTGAGGTATAAATGGACTTATGGTTGGATGTTTTATATAAACTTCTAAAAAGAAAAGTTGCATCAAATGTTTTTGAAAGGATAATTGTTTATGTGATGCATGTTACACTCAATGGTACTATTTAGGGGTACTGTGAAGTGTTACATCTACATTCTTCTAATCAAGGTTGATCAAAATAGTGTTTCCATCCATTACTACACCCCGCCCATTTCTCAATAGAATAAGTAAGCCATCTTAGGCCTAAAAAATGGCTGCAAATTTCATCTATTCTCCAAGTTCCAAGTTCATTTTCTTACTTACATTGGGTCAAGTTAAAATGACGTAAGAGCATTGGCTATGTCAAAACCTCCAAAACCAAGGCATTAATGGTGAAAGGGTTCAAAAATGTATGAATACTTCATACTAGTGAAAGTACACTTAATCCTACAGCATGTAACTATGAAGTAACTTTTCTAAGATTTACTTGAGAGTAGTATCTAAGTTGAACTTTCACGATTTCTCAGTTAATTAGTATGGCTTTTAGTGATTTATTCAGCAAATGTATGATATTCAACTATTGATTTTACTCAAGATAGTTAAACCTAGACCTGAAATAACAAAGGTTCTGTTTGCAATAAAATTAACAAGTCTTCTGTCTTTTCACCTTATGTGTAGTGTCCTTCATAGGTTAACTTAAAGACTTTAATCTCAGCATTTACAATTGTCAATGTATTGACATTTGAAAAAAATGAACTTCTACGGAATTGTTTCTAACTATTTTGATTTTTGTGGTATCAAGTCTATCTATGGTGTGCAAGTTTGTTACTCTGTCTTACTGAGTGATCAGTTCTTTTTAGCTTAAGTCCCTCGTAAGTTAGATACTACAAACATCTCACACTCATTTTGCCTTGATCAAACTCTTTAGCCATATACAAGACATCGAGATCAAATTGACGGTTACTACTCTCTCAACCACTGAAAGTGGGTAAATAAATCAGGCAAAATTATGAGATTGGGAATTTAAATTATTTAAGTATGACAAATTTTCGAGCAGGAGAAACGGATAAAGAGTCAAAGTTTAAAGTGAGATCCTTGCCATTTCCTCCAGCGGTAGATTGAGCTTCCACTTATAAGCTCTGCAATAAAAAACATCATTTTAAATTGGCTATACGTATAAAACCATCTTTCCACGAGACAGATTAACTGCCAAAACTGTGCAATATAATTTGATCATCAAAAATCAATTTTTTTATTCAATTAACCAAATACTGAATACTGAAGCATTTGAACGAACAGGTGGAGGGCAATGATTCACTCTATCCCCAAATCAGATGAATTTGGAGCTCCGTTTGCGAGAAGAGCTAAGAATGAAGCGAGCAAAGAAGCGAGAAGTAAGAGATGGTTATACGGGTTAACGAGCATTTACCTTTGCTGCTCGCAGGATTTCTACTCGAAGAATCCGGTTGAATTAGTTTATTTGTCCCTACTTACGCCCTCTCACGCCGATTCTTTCACCATTGAGATTTCTGAATTCGTTAGGGTTTTCGTCATCGAGAAGCGAGAACAAGTAAGAAAAGTAGCATACAAGCTCCGGCAATTTGTTGTGCAAGGCGCCAAGGCTGGTTTATGACACTATTTTGGGTCGGGGTGGTCTCTGCATGTTTACGGAGTAAATAATTAAAAATATTGTCGTTTTTAAGGGTCAACACTTGAATTGATCCAAAGATTAGCTACAATACAAAATTACGTAGGATTATAAAATTTTCTCTCTTGATGAAAAAATTTTAGACTATAATTTTATTTACAATTCGGAGTAAAGCAAACTAATATTTCACTGTCATACTTTTATTTAGGGGATTTATATACATACCAGTATACCACTATATATTATATTATTTACATATCTAATATCCAAAATATTAATATTTCATTCGTATCACCCATATAATATTTTATTATCAAATATATCACTCGATCTCCTCCCAACCTCACAACATTATATGCGGCCGGACAACTCCTAAATTCCCCGGCAGAACAGCTCCTGCTAAATTCCCCCTTCCCTGCTTCCCACGCGCATGCTCTCTCTCTCTCTCTCTCTCTCTCTCTCTCTCTCTCTCTCTCTCTCGCCGACTTCCTGCATCACGTGCTCTGTCCGCTCTCTATCTCTAGCCGATTCTCTCAAACTTTTATTGAGGTTTTAATTATATTATTTATCATTATAATTTATTGATGATAATTAAAATTGAAATTAATAAGTAATATACTTAATATATAAATTAAATTCAAAACACAATAAATATAAATTTTAAATGAACTTAGCATCTTAGATCATGGAGTACGTTGTCAAACAGTTCTATAGAATTTAACAAGAATCATCATCTATCCTTCCAAACAAATTTTCAGAATTTAACAGCTCCAAGATTTACTAAATTCAGATTTATAAAATTTACTAAATCTTATAAAGTTATATCTTACTTCCAAACGGCCCCTAAGGCTCTCAAGAGGAGAAGGGTGAGTCAGGAGAAAAAAGGGAGACAGGTGGATGGATACTGAGAGAGGGCTGGACATAGAGAAGGTTTTAGTGCTAGAAAAGTCCCGGGTTGAAATGAAATAAATGATACTATAACTAATCAAATAAAAAAGTGATAAAAATGATACTATGACTATTCTCGTTTTAAGCACCTATCTCCTCTGTTTCTTCCCCTCCCTTGGCTGGCCTCCCCTTAAGGAGAATTTGAAATTGCTTTTGAAGTTCTTCCTTATCTCCATGGTTGTATTCTTTGAAGTTTTCAAGCTAACTTCTTATGCACCAACATATACAAATTTTTCATTGATGTAACCTTTAAACCTTTTCAGCTTCTTATGACTTCTTGTGTGCTTATGCATATACATATTTACTAGTATAAAACAATTCATACCTTCGCTTGTGCTTGAAACTTCTGAGTTCAATCTCCTCAAATAAATTATGCCCTTAGTCTTCAATTTCATCCATGTTAGGAATGTAGCCATAGTCCTCCAACTCCCAGCTCAAGGCCACCAGCACCGCCTCCAATTCCATGTCATAAGCTTCCCCAGTAATGAACTTACTTCTTCTACCACCCTCCATCTCCACCAAACTCCAACCAGGCTCCTTCCTTATCCCCTTTCTCCGCATTGCTGCCCTCACCCACGCAACCTCATCCCACCGTCTTACCTTCGCATAAATATTTGATAACAACACATAGTTCCCAGAATTCTCAGGTTCAATCTCTATCAACCACCTTGCAGCTATCTCCCCAATCTCTACATTACAATAACTCCTACAAGCACTTAATAAAGCTCCCCAAACTCCAGCATTAGGCCTCACTCCTACCAGCATTCCTTCAGTAATCAATCTATAAGCTTCTTCGACCATCCCAGCCCGCCCAAGCAAGTCCACAAGGCACATATAGTGCTCTGCCGTTGGAGTGATGCAGTACTTACTTCTCATGAGTTCAAAATACTTCTTTCCCTCCTTTACCATGCCTGAATGGCTACAAGCTGAAAGAAGTGATACAAAGCATATTGCATCTGGCTTTGAATTGGCTTCCTGAATCTCCTCAAATAGTTTGATTGCTTTCTCAGCACATCCATGAATCCCAAACCCAGCTATCATCGCGCTGTAGCAAACCAAGTCCTTTTGCTTCCATCTGCAGAAGAGATTGTAAGCTTTGTCGATATTTCCGCACTTTGAATGAAGGTCTATGAGGGCAGCAATGGTGTGACCGTTGAGTAACTCAGTGCCATGGTGGTCAACGTAGGCTTGGAGAAAGCTTGCTTGGCTGGGAGACCCGGATTGTGCAAAGGCAGAAGCAATGGTGGCTATAGTAGTGGGGTTGGGATGAGCATTTTGGCCATTGCTTATATCCAGCATCAGGTGGAACAGGGCCACTGCTTCTTCAGTGAGTCCAGCATGAGTATAAGCTGTGATCATTGCATTCCATGAAGCTACATCTTTGTTATTGATTTCATCAAACATTTGACGAGCGGCTAACAGATCACCAGACTTTGCATACCCAGTGATCATGGCAGTGAAGACAACTGAATTTTTCTCATTTGAGGAGAATAGCTCATCAAGGAGCTGACGAGCAAGGTTCATCTTGCTAACCGCAGCATAGCCGTTGATCATTGCAATGTATGAATGTGTATTCTTAACAGGCATTTGTTCAAACAGGTTTCGTGCAGTCTCCATGTCCCCTGCCTCCGCGTACGCGACAACAAGCGTATTCCATGCTTGTATATCGAGTTCCCCTCTTGTAACCACTTCTTCAAACACTTTCCGTGCATCTCTTAAATGGCCACATTTCCCGTACAGTTCGATAAGCGTTGTTTGAACACGGGAATCTACCAGAAAACCATGCTTGAAAACATTAGAATGAATTTGTCCTCCTTCACCAAGGGCCCGAAGCTGAGCGCACGCCTTGAGAACTGATGATAATGTGAAGGAAAGCGGTTTTACCGCAGGGTAAAACTGACGAAGCCGTTCATAAAGCGAGATTGCCTGATGGCTACCAGAGTTATCAAGACATGGATGAAGAGAATAGCCTCTAATTAAAGCAGTCCACACAAAGATATTTGGGCTAATTAGGTCATCGACTATAGCTCGGGCATGTTCTAGGCTACCCAGTTCTGCAAAAGTTCTCACAAGCTTTGCAGCGACGAAGTTGTTTTGAGATTGGCCGATGGCTACGACGTGGGAGTGAATTTGCTTAAGCTGCCGAGTGGTTCCAGCGCATAGATCCACCAGAGAGGCAATGCGATCTTCCTCTGCTCGGCTCCACCTCCGCGCCATATTAATGAAGATGCAGCTTACGCGATCGAGTTGAGTTTTCGTATTGGGACTTCCGTCGAGCAAGGAGAATGTGAATGTGAAATTTGGTGACAGATGGCTAGTTGAGCTCTAATAGGATAGAAGGGAAGAAAGAAGGGCGGCCATACCTGCCGTAGTGAAGAGCTCGGGGAGTTCCTTGTATTCTGATTTCGAAAGCTCGTGGTTGACATCATCGGGCCCTTCCTGAGTTTGTGGCCGGTGTCTTCTATGTTAGGAGAGTATCAGATAGAAGAATAGGCTTTCAAGGAAATTAAGAGCTTTTTTTTTTTAGAGAGAGAATCAAAGATGGGCCATGTCATTTGATATACAATCATATATAATATATTGGTGATGTGACACGTCCTGATTGAACTCCATACGACTTTCAACAACCACTCGTAATAATTTCACCTTTTTTGAATGATGCTGAGGAGGGAAAATTTATTAGGTAGGAATAAAATAAATTGAGATATGTTGGTAGTCTAAAAAAAATTTATATATATATATATATCATTCATCCTTCTCTTTGTTATACAATGGATGCATTTTTATAATTATCATAAAAAAATGAAGGAAAATTTCTAAGGGGGAAATAGAAAGTTTGTGGCCATCAATGAGAACTTTGAACCCTCTATTTTCAATATTTTATCTCTATCAATTTACGTTATGGCTAATCTTACAAGTTCTTAGATAGCATTTAAAATATTTTATTGGGCTTTTGATTTGGCTATCTAACTGGGTCTTTGCTTTGATATTTAATTTGGGCTTCAGTTTTAGATATTGTAATTAGATTTTTTACTTTGTTATCCTCATTTATATGATGTGCAACATCGAACTCAAGTTTAGTAAATTAAGAGCTAAATAGTTTTCTACCAATTATGAGGCGAAATTTCTAACTCAATATGAGAGTATCATATATGATTAATAGATGTTTTATTTTTCCAACAAACTAAAAAGTAATGTTCAGCATCTAAGTCACTGGGTGCTTCGCCATTGTTGATATAATCGATATTAAGAAATAAGAGATTATACAAGTGGAGGACTTTGTTTCATACTAAAGAGTAAGGCTGAACAATTGAATGCATATTAACTTCCTCATAAAATATATTTAATATTAATAATATGATGTATTAACATATTAGCAAGTAAATCAAGGTGATGGATATTATATCCGATTTTTAATTGTAGGGCTCAAACCGTGCAATTATATTAGCAAGTAAACAGGTTTGAACCCTCTAGTATTCAACAATAAATCTGATATATATATATATATATATATATATCACTTGGCTTTGAACCGTTGAAATTTAAAGTGGATGCTCACTCTATGCCGAGAAGAGAGAGGATAATGACATTCTTGTTCCCCACACTATTGGAACTCAATTTATAATACCATTTTATTTGAAAAAATATATCTAAATAAAAATATATATTGATAATTCAATGTGATTGAAAGTAATATTTATCTTATAATCACAACATTTTTTAAAGAGATTTAATGATTGCTTATAGGATCTTAATTTTTAAATATAAAAATATGATTACCTAATCCTCTTTTATTATAAAATTTTGTAGATGAATATTAATTTTAATTTTTTTAAAAGTGTGATAGATTTAGGAGCGATGTTGATAGCCAATCTTTCTATAAAATGGAAGAGAAGACTATGGTTAGAGAAGGATGGGAAGGAGCTATATGACCATAATATTTAATCCTTTGACTCTATGATGGATAAGAAAGAGGGCTCCATTTGTGATGTATAAGCTAACTGTCGATAATGGGTCAGACACACTTTATTGTGGCCACCTATGTTGAGCCATCAATCGTGTCTCCAAGCCCCATCATCCACTCATAATTTAGCCCAAACTCATTAGCTATCACATCCTTAATTGCAACCACTTGTAGGAAGGAATCCACCAAGTTCATCATCATTGGACTTGAAAATATCAGCTATTTTGTTGGTGAATTCTTATAGGAAGCCTCTATGTCCCTTTACACACCCACATATTATTTGACTTATAGCTAATATGCCAAGAAATTCTCTTTTGAAGCCTTCATTTAGGGGTGAAACAAAGAAGAGTTTAGGGTAGGTAATTATCCATCATGAAATCTTTTTTTTTTAATCGAATAATAAGCATTTTAACTATTTTGCCCACCTTCATTAAATGCTGCTGCCCAAATTATAAGAAAAAAAAATCATTTTATTTTATTTCATATATAAAATCATGCATTTCACAATCATATTTTTCCCACAATTAAATGAGAAGCTAAATATGCCTCTACCTTCATTTGAATTTATTTCATTACGAAAGAATTACATCTTTCATCATCCAATAGCTTCCACCATAATGTCCATCGATTGATTGTCGACAGATTGCCTTAACTTTTGATTATCATCTCATCTTCCAACCAACATCCTAGGTATAATATCTCAAGCTGGAAACTCATCCTTTCTCCAAGACTCATCCCCCATTTCATAGACAATCAGATGCCTCCTAACTAATTGTTATCATTCACAATGCTATCCCATTAATTATAAATATTTTTTTTTTAAATTATGATTAAGGGACCCCATTTGCTTGCCCTATTATTATTCCCAAGTCGGTCTAACTTGTAGTGATCATTATTAATAACGTTACTGTGATCTACTGATACTACTTCATCAATGACAACATCATTTGAATCATGATTGTTGAGATTAGTACAACCTCTGATTTGAACTTATTTAGACACAACGTAATGAAACCAAATATTTCAAAATCTAATTCAATGCTTCAAGTTCATCTAAAGATCTACACATTTATGAAAAAAAAAATGCTTTATAAGCAAAAGATTTAAAGACACTAAATAATAAATTATTTATATTTCAAATAATTTAAAAATAATTATATAAATATTTATAATTGTAATTAATAATTTGATTAATCAAATTCATGAGATAAATTAGATTTTAAAATCATGCCTACGTGCATGACTTGTCATTCTCATTTTTCCTCATAAAGGTTGAATATTGAATTATTATAAAAGTAATCAAATTTAATTTATATATAATTCTTATTAGAATAACGCATTGTTCTTATAGATTACCGGATAATCAATACAGTACCAGCTACCGAAGCCGACAGGTGGAGGTGGCCGTCGGAGACCGTTACCGTATAAAAGGAAGGCCCTAGATTCACGGGATGAGCTCCGCCTTCTTTCTTTCCTCTTTAAGAAATTTAAAAAGTTTTATTAGAGGTTGTCACCATCTAGTACTTATAGAGTTATAGTACTGAAAATCTCATTCTGATTATATTTTTTAAAAAATATAATAAAATAAAATCTTAAAATTACATAATTGCACAAAAATGCCCTTAAATTGCTATAAGATGTGAAACAAACACATACCTTGATTAAAAAAATAAACAACTACTTTAATACTTAGGTTTAGTTTGTGACGTCTTTCTTACTGCTTTTTAAAACAGTTTTTTAATACAAAAATAAAAATATTTATAGTAAAAAACTGCTTTAAGAAATAGTAATAAAACAATTCCAAAAAAAACCTTAATCATTTTTAGCACATTGCTTAAATGAACTACTCACTATTCACTAACTATTTCAAGCATTTTGTATTATTCAATTAGCACTTTAAGATATTTCCTGGTCTTTTCTCCACAGCTTGCTTTTCTTTGGCCCTCCTTCGCTACTTTTGCTTTTCACTTTGCCTGTAACCTTCCTTTCTTAGTGCTCACTTCTTCCCTTCTACCAGCTTATAACTCGATCCCTCAAGCCACCGCTAACTCCATGCCAAAAACAAATACATTTCAAACCATTCGAATTTAATTTTCTTTTCCTGTTCTACGGTTCTAAAGATGAAGCAGACAATCTCTCTCTTAATGGCTATCTTGAAGGCGAAATCCATGGCGGTGAAGAGCAAAGCAAGCGCTGTGAAGACGAGATTCATAATCTTCAAGCTTCTTCATGACAAAAATGCACTGATAGGCGTATTTCCGCACAAAAAGAACGAGTTTTCATTTGATGAAGAGCAAGCGAATCCTCATGAAAAAACGATCATTCTGCACAATGGAGCAGTCGAATGCGTCGAAGAAAAATACAACAATCTTGAAGACGATGCTGAATTTGATGGAGATTCTGGAGAGAGGGATGGAGAGTTTGATCTTGAGGATGAGATCGATCAAGCGGCGGATATTTTCATAAGAAAGTTTCGTAAGGAGATGATGATTCAGAAGCAGGAGTCTTTCAAAATGTATCAGGAAATGTTGGCCAGAGGAGTTTAGCAGAAGATTATCTTTCGTATGTAGGATGATATATTTTCTTATGTTGCTTTGTTAAAAGATGGCCATCCTGAAAAAGATTTTTTTGACTTGGCTGCAGATTAATCAAATGAATGTGCGGTTGGTGCAGTTTGTTTTCTTATATTGAATAGTAGAAATTGTTCTATTTAGTTGATTATAATTGAAATGGGTTCTGTTTTGTGTAATTTATTTGGTATTTTGCATTCTGCAGTTATTGAATTGACAGAATATGAAGTGGAATGAGAGGTTATACCGAAAAGTTAGCTGGTTATTTTTTAGGCTTCATTTATAACAGTTTTTTTTACTATTTTTAAGATAATATTTTTTATAAAAATTAATTTTTTTAACTAAAAAATTATTTTAGAAATTAGTAAGAAAATAATCTCAAACGGAGGCTTAATATGAACTTATTTAGATACGAGCATAATATATTAGTAATTACTCACATTTCGTCATGCACTCATCTCAAAGAAAATTTAATGGCTTTGATATCATCAAGATCTTTTTTACCCCCTTATTTTTTCTTCCTCAATCAAATAGATATATAGAATCTTAATATGGCAAAGTTGTGGAGGAATTCTCAAAAGTATTTTGATAATTTTCAAAAACTTTGATATTCTATTCTTCATTTGGAATGCAAAGTTCTGAAGAAGCATGTTTTGATTGGTTGTTGATGTGATGAGAATAATTCATTTGTTGAGGGTGTGAATGATTTTGATAAGAAGCTATTATAAGCTTGTTGCGATCAGGAGTATTCGCGGCAGTAGAGAAATATATAGTTTAACGTCTTAGCATTGTACGAAGATCCAGCACACAATCAGATAAGTGAGAGGGTGTAGCGTTCATAAGAGAAACTAGAGTTTTTACGTGGAAAACCCCTGAAAATGGGGAAAAAACCACGGGGCTTACAAATGAGGTCATTCCTTGGGAGAAGGCCTTAGCTTAATGTACATTTTATAGAGTACATTACATGACGTTAATACAAATAATCACTATTGACATGTTCGTTTGGTCGAGAGGACCGTAGTCGGTGGGCGACGAAGGTCAGAAGGCTTGTAGTCGGTGGGCGAAGTAAGTCAGGAGGATCGTAGTCGGCGGGCGACAGAGGTCGAGAGGACCGTAGTCGGCTGGCGACGGAGGTCAGAAGGACAGTTGCCTTGCGAGGGAGGTTGGAAGGATTGTGTCTAACGATGAAGGTCAGAAGAACGACGTCAGGTAGAAGTCCAACAATGAAAAGAAATCCATATTCGGATATACGTCCAGCGAAAGTCCGATAATCAGTAGAAGTCTGACATCGGGTAGAAACTTGGCGAAGAGTGAAGGTCAGGTGTCGGGTAGAAGTCCGACGTCTGTTGGTAGACGAGGAGAACTCCGGCATCACTTGGGCGGAGTTTCGGCGCCAGGAGGGAACTCTATCGTTAATTGAGAAGAATTTCCGCATCTCATGGAAGTTGGGCAGAATTCTGGCATTCTCCCGAATGTCCGGCATAGTTTCGGCATATTCAGGCGGCGAGAAGAGCTCCGGCGGTGGTCGAGGAGGAGATGATTCTCCTTTTCCCCTTTCTCCTCTTCTTCTCTTCTTCTTCTCTCTCTTACCTTTCTTCTCTCTTGTGAAGAATGAGGGCTCTATTTATAGTTTTTCAGGAGTGGCATGGCTTGTAAATATATGTGATATCAGGGGCGAACAGGGAGTGATTGAATGGACGGCTGATATTTAATCTATTGATCATACACCGTTTGTCAGTCATTTGAAGGCCTTAGTGATGTCGGAATATGACGATCTTGGGCTCGTTGGACTCGTCTCATCGAGCCGTTCGATTCGACTATAAGCTCGCCAAAATCGGAGAATGTTTGGTAACTCAAATTGTGGTTCGAACCTTTTAACAGCGCTTTAGGTCCTTGATTTGGACTCATTTGGGCTCGGATTGAGTCAAATTTGGAGTCGTTGGGTTCGTATTTCCGAGAAGCTCATTTTGACTGTAAGTTTACTGAAATCGAAGTTTAGGTGCTCCCGGATTTAATTTTTGAAGTTTCCAACTAGCTTTTTGCCTCGAGATTCGTGCCTGATCAAGATAATTTTTGCATGACGTATCAAAGCTATTACATTCAATTGAGTTAAATGGTTGGATAGGTAAGCCTGGTTAAGGGGATACATGTTGACGAGAGATTATTAAGTGTGGAGACCGGACATACAAAACATGTCAGTTTTGTCTCAATGAACAGTAAAATCACAATTACTGTTCATCACAGCATTTTTACTGCTCGACATCACGCTTACTGTGCTTTTAGGTTCTCTATGTCCGATCTCTGCACGTAATAATCTCTCCATATTGACACCATCTAAGTTAGATCATTGAGGTTTTATCTTTTAATGTGCTATAAATTAACACCCAAAGCTCATAATACTATTTAGATAATTGATGCACCCATCAAATGATTCAGTCAGCTCAAGCTACATGTTTAATTACTAATAGGCATTCTTCAATGCCAAGCAAAAGAAGAAAAAAATCAGGGTAAAAAAACATATGGAAAATCTTAATTTTAGAATATTTTAAATGTTATGTTTTTTTTTTAATTTCCATTATAAAACTAAGTATTCATAATTATTTCTAGCTATAAATCACATTAAAAGATCATAAATAATATTAAAATATTTTCACTATTGAAATAAATATGTTGAAATTTTGTTTAAGGAAAATTTTATTAATCCGATTAATTTTAGTGAGGTATAAATTTTTATTATAAATTTATATTTTTAAGTAGTATGATTTTTCTCAGAACCATAGGCTCAATAGTCAATTCGGTTGTAATGACCCAAACGCAAAGCTGATGTGTCAACATTTCATTGGCCTCCATGACGTGGAGCGTATACCAGCCTCCGGACCCAAATAAAGAGTTGCCTTTGCGTCTCTGTTTCCACCGGTCTCGTGGGTACTGGAGAGAAGCAAGCTTGTCCGATCTCCAGATTTCACCGCATCTGGGCTTTTACCTTCTCGGAAAGATCTCCGGTTCGTCCTGTCGTCTAGGGTTTTTCTATACCTCTCGCTCTTCCACTCTCGAAATACTCTTCCAATTCAGTTCATCAGTTCATCTCATCTTTGCTTTGATCTAGGGTTATGAGATTGGCGTGATGGGAGGAAGATGGATCGCGCCTTATTTGTTTCTCACGCTTTTTGCGTGCTCTGTATTTCATATACATGCTTCCGAACCGGTAAGTTTTCGTTTTAGAAGGCGGATTTTACTGTCATGGATCTTTGTCGGTTGTCGCGAAAGTAATAATGGTCTTTTTTTTTGCTTCAGTTGTTCTACGAATCCTTTGACGATTCATTCGAGGGAAGATGGATCGTTTCTGAGAAGGATGAGTACAAAGGTATCTATTTGGATCTTATTAGATCTCATTCAGTTTTGTGTAATTCTTCTTCATGCTTGTGGGTAGGCTAATTTCGGATTTTTCTGTTCTGAAGACTGGTTTTCGTATTATTCTGCTTTGCAATATTTTGAATGGGAATTTGATATGAATCAGGGGAGATTTCATGTGATGTTCTGTGCATTGTGTGTTATAATCAAGGTTTTAGAACCACGGTATAGAAGAGTTTGGTGGAGGGAGATGGGGTATACTATTCTCAAGTCATAGATCATTAGATCCTATGTCTAGGGTCGGTTTGATGTATCGTAGCAATTCCCTAAAGTAGGGAGGATAATCCTCTACAGAGTCCTAGATGCGCGGATTAAATATTTTCGAAGGATCTGAGAGAACGAGGATGAATCATCCCAAGATTTTAGGTCTCATGAGTCATGTCTAATGAAATTAAACAATTTTAAAGGAGCATAAGTATAAACTATGCTGTCCTTGGGCCTTATGGTTCAAGGATGAACCCCACCTTAAGGTGGGGTGTCGCATCTAAGTACCACAAAGAGGTCTACCATAGGTCTGAAGATGTATACTTCCTCCTTAGGCCATATAAGATCATGTTGAAGGATGCTAATGCTGATAGTCCAGTTAGGTGGGGTGTCACATCAAAGTACCACAAAGAGGTCTACTATAGGTCTGACCGTCTGAGGTATACTTCATCCTTAGGCCATATAGGATCATGTTGAAGGATTTTAATGCTGATAGTCCAGTTAGGCTCCATGAAGATCATAACTAAGTATAGGAGAGTCACTAAACAACTTACAATCATCTAAGGTCACCTTGAGAAAATCACTATTCAATTTATTGAATATCAAATCACCTAGGCGCTCACTTAGTACAAGTTAAAGTGAAGATTGGAAGGTGTACTAGACCACCTAGGGTGAATTATAACAATTTAAGGATTGGTTAGTAGTCCACCTAAGGTCCATTTAAGGAGGGCTATAACCAAATACCGGAAGATTGCTATACAACTTTCAATCATCTAAGACCATATAGGACAAATGACTAGTCAATCTATGGCATGCTAGAATAGACTAGGGTAAACTACTAGGCCACCTTAGTTCAACCAGGACATGTTAGAGTTGAGGTTCAAAAGGTAAACTAGATATCCTAGCGTCTACTCAATTAATCTAGGTTAAACTACATGTTTGTATTAGGCGAACTAAAATACATTATGGTCGACGACTAAATCACCTAGGGTTAGGATAGGTTGAAAAGAAGGGTAAAACATATGTTTAGATAATTTAAACATTTTTTTTTAATTTAAATATTTAAAAAAGTTAAGTTTCTTTTGAATTTTAACCGCTAAGTAAATTGTCAGCAATCTTGTGTTCATGATAAATAAGTTTCTTTTAAATTTTGATGATGCGCTTGTATGCTTATGCATTATCATTTATCTAAAGAAGATAAAAAATATATGCACTTCTCATGTGAAAGGCTTCTTTTGTGTTACCAAAAGAATTTGAATATTAGTATGACACATTTCCTGATAAAATGCATATGCATTCATATTTTGGTCATGCTTTGATGTCGGAAGTTTTTCTTTTTTATATTACTAATTTTGCTCGGTAAAATAGCATTGAGAATCCATTTATAAACTTCATGTTTATTATGATTGACAACTTAAATCATTGATTAATTAATTGTCTTTCTTGTTTACAAAGCTTCATATCACATATAAGCTTGTTTATTCCATACAAGCATTGTTTGGAAGTCCTTGCGTCTAGACCCTCTATAGTAGAAACACAACAATTAGCGTGTTACTATATCCCTTAAAATTTTCAAAATGGCATACAAGATGATAAGCACATAAATGTTCAATATGTCATTCCCTCGACATTCAACATAAAAAATATCTAATATTCAAATTGAGAAGCTTAAATCATGCCACCTTTTGCGATGTGCATATTCTTTTGAAACATTATTTGATGAGTTAAATATTATATTCAATCTAATATGAGGCTCCTGTGTCGTTTAAGTTATTTTCATCACTAGATGATTAGCATTTAATTTAATAATTTAAAATAAAATTTTAGTTTTAAGTAGTTTTCATGGACTCTTAGTAGTTTGTGTTGGAATTCCTTGTTTGAATGTCATGATGAATTTCATGTTTATGTTGACACTTTCCATTCAATCTAAAGCACATATCTTTTTTATGATGGCTTCATCTATTTTTTGATATTTAAGCCACTTGGAGTTTCTCCGTGATTTAATGATAATTTACCTCCTAAAACATTCATGATTATATGTATAAATATATTGATAACAAAAGGGTATTAGTAGATTTTTTCTCATTGATTCAAAGCATTTGATGCGTGATAATATACAAACAAGTGTAAAGAAAAAAACTAGTGCACACTAAACAAAAAAAATCTACTATGATACATTGATTGACTTATATTGGATGGATATAATATATTTATTGTTTTGAATATATACAATTATATTTAAATCCAGAGCTTCCTAATATAGCCTATATGTGCCAAGATATCCTGGATTTTTACAACATCCAGTCATTTCCTTCTACCATTGCTGGTCATGAATTTCCTTTTATAGCACCCGATCTTTAATTTTCTTTTACAACACCCAGGGGCTCCAACACTCTCTCTAAAGATGGAGAATTCCTAACTTGGGGATAGTTTCATAAAAAAATGTGTCATAGTTTTTTTGTTAAAACATGTGCCATTTGACTTACAAAAGGCACACAAGGCATGTGAATTAGACATTATTATAGCTTTTCCTTGATAAAGTGTTTGTTAATCTCTATATTGTTCAATCATGTTATATTATATTATGAGCAGTGTTTATTGTTGTGTTATTATCACAATATAACTTCATAGGTTATAGGATGATCTTTAGCCACAACAGTCTACAATTTCATATGCTATAGCTTTGAATTCAAACTAAACATTTGTTATAACTACCTCATTCTACTTTTTCCTTAATGTTATTAAATTTCCACTAAGAAGTGCGCAGTAACCAAATATATATTTTTATCAACAATTGAACTTGCATAATCCTCAACCGCTATTTAAAAATTGGTTTTATTCCTCCTCATCATCTCCGTTAATAATGATATCATCAACCTATATTGAGAGGGCTACCGCTCCCTTTGCAGTCAAATGCTTGATGAAGAGGGTATAATCTTCTTGATTTTAGTTGTATCATTTTCTCCTCATTGTTATAGAAAACCACTTGAATCATGCTCCAATTGATTGTTTTGGCCCATATACGACCTTCTTTAGTTTATGCACCATGTTAGTTGTTCCGTTTCTTTTGAAGTTTGGAGAAATTCTCATGTAAATTACTTACTACAGATTCCCATGCAATAAGGCATTCTTTAAATCATATTGTTTAAGTTGTGAATTGAAGTGAGTTTTCAAAGACAATTCTCATATTGTTTATCTTTACCACCGGGGTAAATGTCTCATATTAATCAGCTCAATATGTTTGCGTGTAATCTTTAAAAATCGATTTTGCTTTATGTTTGTCAATAGTACCATTATCTCATTTGTATAGTACTATGGTTTTTCGTTTAGGCGTATCAACAATCTCTTGTGTGTTGTTTTTTTCTTGGATGCATTCACTTTCTCTTATGACATTTCTCCATTCCTATCTTGATAATATTTTTTTATAATGCCTCAGATAAAATGTTTGAAAAAAATAGTGTTTAGCTCACAATAAAATTTATATGGATTAAATAAAGGCATTTAAGTGATACATTGGAATAATGAATTTAAGGGTTGCTTTGTGCAGTCATTGATACAGTTTCTAGCATCAATAGGAATAGCAAGGTCCTTTAAATTTTATATGCAAAGAAAAGTTAGAACTTACCAAGTCTTCATTAATAGTACTCGGGATAGCGTTTTGAATATGTACAAACTTTGGAGTGGCATTGATGGGCACGAATTCTATAACAGAGACGAACTCAATGTAGTTTAGAACATTCTTTTTAGGGATACATTCAATGATGTTTGGATCATCTGTTCTTGAGCAGATAGGATGCAACAAATAACAAAAGATGGTTTTAGAGGATCAAAATTGGAGTGGGTAGAATCTTTATTTTCCATGAGTGGAATCTCTCTATGAAGATATGACTGAATTAATGTTTATTTTCATCAAATGTGATGCCGGAATATATTAAAATTTTTTAATAAAGAGGATGATAGCATTTTTATTATTTTTTGTGTACAAAATAGCTAAGAAATGTGCTTAGTAGTTATGGGGCTTTGAATGAACATTTTGTTGTTGTGTATTTATCATATATATCTTCGTTTGAATAACTTTTGCTCGATAATATTGAAGTTCATTTCCTTGAAATAACAATGCCTACGTGATATTAAGTAAACGATCGATTTTCAATGCTTTGAAAAGTGAGGGAAATTAAATGGGAGAAGAATTATGATTCTCCTCCTTGGAGGAGAAAAAGCCATCCCTATAATAATAATAATATCCATTTTGAATAATAAAATCAATTAACCTTTCACGTGCTTCACCATTTATAATTATTTTTGAATGACTAGATTCAAAGTAGCTAAAAGTTAAAAGGTAAGTATTTATTTATTTTTAGTTTCTTTGATTCTCAGCCATTTAAAATTTATGATATATGGTGGAAAATGTATGATGATAATTGATAAGTGGCTGTTAGACCGGTCCAGCCGGCCCAATCCATTGGGCCGGCTCTGTTCGTTTACGGGAGGAGGCGGGCGGAAACAACAGAGAGCCGGAAACTGCAAGGAGGCAATCGGGTGGGGTCCACTTGCTTTTCAAATTGAATCTTGGAGCCAAAAGGAGTGGAAGCAAGGGCAATTAGGTCCGTTTATGTTATTTTTGAATTGTATGCTTTATGTAGGGAGAAAAAGATAGATTAGGGTTATGTTGAATTTGCTTGAAGTTCTTTCTTGTTCTTCTTTGGTGGCTAGGCTCTAGATCAAATTCTAGAGATTGGGAGAGTGCGATCCTCCTCTCGAATAGAGGATACTTGTATCTTTGCTATTTTCCTTGCATCTACTAGTAAAATACAAGTTTTCCTACGAATTTCTCTCAGTTTTCCTACTGTTTTCCCGCTGTTTTCACTGTTTTCCTGCTCCGGACAGCAGTTTTTCTTGGTGATTTGCTGTAAAGGTGAATAGGAAATACTTGATTTCAAGTATTTCCTATCAGTGGCTTTATCCTTTTAATTAGATAATCAGTCTTACAAATTATGAATGATATAGTGTTCTAGTCATAATGTTTTTAGATATTATGCCTAATATTATAGCTATATGTTTAATCATTAGCACCAAATATATAATTAGTTGGGCATAATTAAAACTGCATCACAGCTCAAACTTGATGAGAAAATTTATAAACAAGCATGACCCGTATTTAAAACTCAGATCATATATGTTCAAGCTTAACTCGAATTTGATAAAGGAATAGCTTGATTTGGTTTATTTACAACCCTATTATCTTGCATGTGAGAGATTAATTTTTAAAGAGAAAATTTAGCCTATTATAAAAAAAATTCAGTCCAAGAAAAATAAAATAAAATTGATTGAAATGTTGTAGGTGGTTCACAATCTGCAATTTATTGAATCTTATTTGGGTTCTCATTTTGACTTGATCAACCCGATCTAAACAAATGTTGGTCTTCATGTAGTAAATTTATGGTATATTTCTATGTAAAGCTTTAGTCCCAATGAGAGGCACGTTGAATAAAAAATCAGAAGAAGGTTAACAATCATAAACTAAAGCCATTCATGTTTGGTGTTCCAAAAGATGCACCAACCAACTTTTTCTGGAAGAGTGGAAAGGTTTTTTGCAGAATGATAATTGTAAACCATTAGTCAAAATAATAGTCAGGTGTAGCATAGTGATCAGGTAAGTTCATATAAAGCAGTTTGGCAACTTTACCAGTAAAAGGGCTGGCTTAGACATTTTGAGAGCGAGATCCTATTTGGATATGTTAAATCGATCTGATGTATTGCCTGTCTTGAATTGGGTTCAACTTTAGAAAGATGTAAGCATAGTTATCGCAGAAGAAAGTGCAGCATTAAAAATATAATCCCTTAACTTTGCTATTGTTCTACGAGTTTGACGTTTTACTGTTTTATTTTTCATCTCGTAGATCATCTTGATGCGTTAGCTTTGTGATTTCTTGTGTCAGGTGTGTGGAAACACTCCAATAGTGATGGACATGAAGATCATGGTCTTCTTGTTAGCGAGAACGCAAGGAAATATGGCATAGTTAAAGAACTTGAAAAACCAGTCAACCTCAAGGATGCAACTGTTGTCCTTCAGTATGAAGTTCGTTTTCAAAATGGCCTTGAATGTGGTGGTGCTTATCTGAAATATCTAAGACCGCAAGGTACTAATTGGATTCCCAAGGATTTTGACAATGAGTCGCCTTATTCTATTATGTTTGGACCTGATAAATGTGGCTCTACTAACAAAGTCCATTTCATCCTCAAGCATAAGAACCCCAAAAGTGGTGAATATGTAGAACACCACCTTAAATACCCACCCTCTGTTCCATCTGACAAACTTTCTCACGTCTATACCGCCATTCTTGAACCTAATAATGATCTGCGGATTTTAATTGATGGAGAGGAGAAGAAGAAGGCGAATTTTCTTACAGGCGATCATTTTGAGCCTGCGATAATCCCACCCAAGACGATTCCTGATCCTGAGGATAAAAAGCCGGAGGACTGGGATGAGAGAGCGAAAATTTCTGATCCTGATGCAGTAAAGCCTGAAGACTGGGATGAAGATGCTCCAGTCGAAATTGAAGATGGGGATGCTGTTAAGCCTGAAGGATGGTTGGATGACGAACCAGAGGAAATCGATGACCCCGAAGCATCAAAACCAGAAGATTGGGATGATGAAGAGGATGGAGAGTGGGAGGCACCAAAGATTGACAATCCAAAATGTGCCACTGGACCTGGATGTGGTGAGTGGAAGAGGCCGATGAAAAGGAATCCAGCTTACAAAGGAAAATGGCATGTTCCATTGATTGATAATCCAGATTATAAGGGCATCTGGAAACCTCAAGAAATACCAAATCCAGATTATTTCGATCTTGAGAATCCTGATTATGAGCCCATTGCTGCCATTGGCATTGAGATATGGACCATGCAGGATGGTTTACTGTTTGATAACATTTTAATAGCTAACGATGAGATAGTGGCTAAGTCTTATAGAGAGAAGACTTGGAAACCTAAGTTTGATCTTGAAAAAGAAAAGCAGAAGGCTGAAGAAGCTGCCTCAAATCTCCCTGTTAAACTTTCGAGTTACCAGGTGATTTTCATGGGAACGCTTAGTTACTTCCGTTATTTTTTTAAATCTGATCTGCGCACTAACAATGATTAGAAATGCAGAAAAAGGTGTTTGATGTTCTCTACAAAATAGCAGACATTCCTTTCTTGAAGGCATACAAGATAAAAGTCATTGTAAGTAATAAAACCCTCTGTCCACTACATTTCCCTTTCTCCTTTTAATTTTTTACATCGTTTCTTCTCATTTTTAGTAGGAAGCCTCTTTACACACCCCCATTTCGATCACCTTCATTTGTCTTGCTTTTTTAGGAGAAAAAAGTAATCTTATTATTCTTCTTCTTATAATTATTTATAATTTTGTCAATCACATGTCCTACCTTAATGTAATTTTGTCAATCACATGTCCTACATTAATGTAAAATGCCGGATTTGTAGTGCACTAATGCATTTCCTTTCCTTGTATTTCAATTTTGTTGGTGTTTGATTTAAAAGTAAAGAAATACAAAATGAAAATTTGGCAAATTTGCAAATTTAAAATACCCTCTTTTTTTTTCATGTTGAATTTCCCATCCAATGTCATTTTTACATTCTAGCGTTACCAAAATAGCATTTTCCTTTACTAAATATAGATTTTCTTCATCTGCAGGAGGTCATTGAGAAAGGTGAAAAACAGCCTAATGTCACCATTGGAATCCTAGCATCAATCGTAGTGGTGATCATCACCATCATCCTCAGGATTCTGCTTGGAGGAAAGAAACCTATAGTAAGTTTTTTCATAATAACTTTTTATTCCCCTCTACAGATTTTTTTTTTCATACTGTTTTTTCCTATTTCTCTTACAATTCCTCCTCCTGTATTCAGCCTCGTCAGGAAGAACCTGTAACTGGTTCAACTAGTACTCCGGCTGAGGAGAAAGAAGATGAGAGGCCTGAGAGGAAGGAAGAAACCGAGAAAGAGGAAGAAATTGAGAAAGAGGAACCAGGAGCTCTTCGCCCAAGAAGGTCTAGACGGGAGACTTAATTGTGGGTTGTTTGAGGTAAAGAATTATCTCTATTGTGATCCAGTCACTATGTTTCAGTGTTTCTTACCTTTAAATTTTGAAATTCTCAGCATTAGTAGTTAGTTTAAGGTATTCGAAGGTCAAATAGCTAGTGAAGGAATTATTGTCGTAGGCAACAGGTACTTTTTATTTAATAGATGTTTCTCTTGAATTATGCTTTAGTTACTGTAAGAACATGTTATTTTGGATGTTCTATTGAGTTTTCCAACTGGAAAAGTAGTCTTACATTTCTTTGTTCCTATTCTTCTTTTTTTCAGTTGGTTTTGATTTTAGCGAAGTTCAATGTCTACGTAAATGGTGATTAATAATGTGTTTTGCTTTTATATTTGAAATAAGAACCTATTTTAGCTCGGCGCATAGCTGCGGTACACAACAAATGGATGATGTGGCGCGCTATGATATGAAAAATTAAATGTTGAAAGAAATATCTATGATTGAGAGTATGACCCTTAAGATGAAATGTTTTGGATTTTGATCATATTTATAAAATATACTGAAAAAAAAACTCTCTACATGAACAAACTACAAATCATCTCTATGATATTGTATCAATATATTTCTCATTCATGTGGAAGAGCATCATTTATAATAATAATAAGAAAACAAGTATAATTATTTTAATCGGGCTAACTTCCCATATTTTTTCCATTTTGGTGTCTCTCACAATATTGACATGTTAAACCCTTTCTCTTTATTATCATGAATATATTGGCATGCAACGATTGGGGTATTAGCTTGAGATTCATGACAAATTTTGTAGTAACACTTAAATTTTAAAAGATATATTTTGAATTATAATAGTCAAATAATATTTAAAAAACCAGTATAAGTCTAATTTGTAATCCATTTTCGTCATAACATAGATATTATTGTTTTGTAGTTATAATAAATTTTCTCTAGTTTTAGAAGCATTGTAGATATGAAAATAAGAAGATTTTTATTTAATTATAATTATTTAATAAATTAACACATTTTGGTACAAATGTGTCTTCTTGAACTGTTAGATATTCATTTTACAAACTGATTTCACAGGAATCTTATAGATATATTTAGCTAACTTAAGTATATTTTTTAATAATTTTTTGAATCTTTATATTTAAATATATATAAGAATTTATATGAATTTTATACTAAAAATATAACAAATGGTATATTTACATTTGTATCACATAGTTATAAAAAAACTTTAGCCATTAGATTTTTATTAAATGCCATTTGTTTTTTTTTTTTTCTTGCAACATTTAGGCCATTTAAGTCAAACTCATACACATAACACATACACAAAGATTTGAACCCAATACCTTTTAGTTGGAAGCCTAAGCTCTCAACAAATAGACCAAGATGAGTTGTGTAAGGCCATTTGTTCTTATTCCTTTTTCCTAAAATAAAGAAGGAGAAATGAATTTTGAGAAGAAAAGAGAGGAGAGAGGAGAGAAAAATAAGTATTTGAGGTATAGAGTTATTTTTATTAGTCCGTTCATCTACGAAAATTGCTCGGATTGAGGTAGATTAATTTTTACCTACCTCAATTTTTAATAATTCAGAGTTTTTTGGAATTTCTCGATCGAATTTATAATATAGTTTTACAAAAAAAATGTAATTTTATCGGATTATAGTAACTTTCATCCATGTAAATTTTGACATTTTGTTGGTACAACTATTCTAGTTGTTTTAAGTACATTTTTTAGATTTTTCACAGGTTACTTTGAAAAGCAATATTTTGTCAAATTAAAAATTTATTTTGACAATTAAAAAATTATTTTGACATCTAAAAAAAGTGTTTCGATTCAGTTAAAGCTTCAAAATATTGTTATACATGATATTTGGTACTTCGATTATTTTTTTAAAACATAAATTTCTGCTCAATAGAATTTTTTGTTGGCAACCATTAAGTCGTTTTGAAATCTTAGAGCTTTGAGAAGCACAATTACTCAACCACTTCTCAATCCTCATCATCAAATTCGGATCACCGCAACTCAACCTTTATAATTAAATTATCATCTTGCTGATTATGGTTGTCTTACCACCATTGCACAGTTTTATACGCTCAACCATCACAATCTTTTGTGGAGCCCTAACAATTATCGCCAAACTACAATCCTTTGATTAATATCCCATTACTGTGATAAAATAATCACCATCACTTGAAGGCATTTCTTCAACTATATTGTCGCTCGCTAACATTGTTACATATTTTTATTAACAATGTTGTTGCATGTCATTGTCTATAAGGCTGATGCACACTATTTACATAAAACTATGTATTTTTTGGTTAACATCAAAATTTATATCATACTTCATAGTCTATATATTAGTCTCTACTCAAAGGCAATTGAATGAACCTGTTATAAATAATTTATTAAATATAACTGTAATGCAATGCATCCAGACTTTTTTAAATTACATCACTAAAAAATGTCTCTCTTTAATATATTAAAATAATATTTTTCTCAGGAACGAAAATATTATTATTTGTAATCTATGATAAACACTAATAAAATCATTTCACTAAAAAGTATTGTCTCATAAATTTTCTAATTTAGTAAGTTTTTCATGTAAAGCTCTAGCGTCTCTTGCTACTATATATGCATGTGTTAGATTTATTCACAGTGTCAAGACTAAAGACATTAGACCTTTAGGTTGCCGATCCACGGTTTATGGGCAAATTATTGCGTCCGGTCACCAGATGTCCGGACATCCAATCCGGCGACGTCATGTCATCCAAATACACTGTATCCTGATATATTTTGATGACACGATAACACCGAATTGATGCCCGGATGAATCCGGACACTGTACCCAATAATTTGCCTAGCTTATGACACAATCCCGCATTCCTCTTTCAAGACCGGTGACCAACATAATTTTTTTTCGTGTTACCGCCATACCGAAAATGACCTGGTAAAGGCCCGGAACCTAAGGCGGTCTATGGGCGTAATCGTACGCGTGGACTCATCACATCCGTCCATGAAAAACAAACGCGTATCCAGGCCGCCTATTTTCTCTTTGTTAGGCTATATATATGTATGCCATGTTTGCCCTAAATCACAGGTGCGTTTGGATTGACGACAGACCTCTCTTCCCCGCTTACTTTCCCTCGCCTAAACCTCTTGGTCGGCGTGGCGTCTCCTCCCATGGCTGGTTTCATTGATTTGATGGATTCGTCTCATCTCCAATCTCGTTTTGCCACTAAATTCCTGATAGTGATATTGAATTGATGGCGCAGTGGCTTCTCCTGGTTTTCGGTGGATCGGGGTCTCAGGCCTCGGATCTGGATGAAATTGGAGCAGATCCCGTCTTCGCTGCTATTGTTTTCTTCTTTCATGCGTGGATATTGAGAAGCCCGAAAGTTTTATAGGTGGATTGTCCGTTGTCATGTTATGCGATCACACTTTTTGCAGATGGATGGTTTTAAAATCGCGTATTTGAAGCGATATTTAATTTGCGCGGTTTCACTGCAAGTTTTGCTAGATTTTTCACCGGATATGGAAAACCTTGTCTTCTGCTCAGATGCATAGCTTGGATACCGAAGTTTCTTCCCGTTCACAAAATTTTTTGAAGGCTGAAGATGGTATGGTAAAATACTAAAATCTATTTGTTGTATCTGATGATATATTATTTGTTGTCTGCTCTTGGCCTTTGCCATGCTGGGTGCGCTCGCATGGCAGGCCACCAAACCTAATAAAATCTATATTTTTTGGGTGCTTTCTTGGGGAGATCGCACGGGGCTGAAAGTTTTTTACCCGGGTTCTCCCCAAGATTTTCTTCTTGCTTTTTCGCTTGCTTTTTGTTTCATCTAATTTTGACATCTAGGTTTAGCGTGTGGTTTATCAACTTAGGCGGAACATGCTCGCGTTGACTGTGGCCTGAACTCTGAATCGTTATCCAAACGCTATCAATCTAACAAGAGGACGCGCTTGCACTAGAATCTAGGTTCTGAAGAACCTGACAAGGTATAAACAATCGTTAATCCTTAAATTAATCAATACTGACGTGGTTTACAATCAGGAAATTTCTCATTACAATTGATGAAAGATTCCTATCCCCATCCTTTTGTGCTTTAATCGTTCAGTGTCGTGCTCGAGTGCTGGCAAATAATACTTTTCACAGATAGTACAGAGTCTTTACTTGTTACCTTAAAGTTTCTCTGAATTCACGTTAATCACATATCCATTGGAAGTTGCGCATGCTGTTTCGTTTGTTTGTGTATGGATCGTCCGCTAATCATTTACCGTATGAGTTTCATCTTCAGTTTATCTCTTTGGTCGTGATGTTGTGTTCATAGTTCATTCTGGTGCTAGAAAATGATGCTGATTTTCTCACTCTACTGATGAAATCTACTGGTTTAAATACTTTAAAGTATTGGCGGCTATAGTTTTTTTGGCTACTCTATATGTTTCTCCTAAAAAACGTCATTCTATTGTTCTCATCTTGTTGCAAAAAAGCAGTTAGGGCATCTCCAACCGAAAACTCCATTTCCACTCTAAAATACCCTAAAACTTCAAAATGTGGCGGCTTATCTCCAATAGAACTCAATTTTTCTTTGTATGCTAGCTTCTTTGAGAAGGTAAACATCTCTCTCATGTTTCGCACGTTTCTTGTGATTGTGAAGGTAATCTTTTTTTTTTTTGCATAGGTGAACAGTCCAACGCCAATATTGGTGTTAGACTGTTCTCATATTGTTTTTTGGCGTGAAATTTGGAGTTCTAATGAAGTGATTCACGAACAGCATAAAATGATATGCAGTTCGGTTGGAGATGATCTTATAAACACAATTTCTTTTTGCAACCTCTTCAATTGTTTTGAAAATTTTAGGGTTATAAATTTCATGTGGCTCCAATACATGTATTTTTTTCAATATTTTTTTTTTCCAAGAATGGTATGATTTGAATTAGCGACCACAGAGAGATAACCTTTCCTAATTTTTTGCTTTCCATCTAATTTTTAATGTTACTTTTCATAATATTTTGAATTCATCATTAGCTTGTTATAAGAGATTTATCAAGAGTATAATAGTAACATAAAAGTTATTTAAAAATTTGAAAACATAATTAATTTATGACCCATATCCACTTAAAAATTATATGATTCCCCAGTACAATTCTACATGTGTATCACAAATTTGCATTTATTTGTTAGCGTTTTGCTTACCAGTTTTTCGATACTTATGAAATAAAGTAATCTTATTTAATTGATATTGAATGAAACATCATTTACTTTATTTAATATTTAATGAATGTTAATTCAATAAAAATTAATTGTTGGGAAGTGAATGATTTGGTTATATACTTATATTAGAAACAATACATATAATATGTGTGGTGATTCATTTTTAATAATTTTTGTTTTTGAAGTGTACAAATAGTAATTTTTATTGTAAATTAATAGTTAGAGAGATATTAGAAGATGCGTGCAAAATATTAGTTCTTTATATTATATGCACATTGGAAAGCCATTTATAGTAAATGAAGATTTTTAAACATAATGTAGCATTTTTAGAATGGCAAATTATTAGATAAGTCAATACATTGTTCATTGGACATTTTATGCATCTATATCTATACATAAATATAAATCTTAATAGTTAATATTGAAGTCAACTAATCATATATATATATATATATATATATATATAGTGTAAAATAAGAATAAAAATAAAATATGGCAACAATAAGCCTATTGATTCTCCTACTTTTGTCCACATCAAAGCCATCATTCAACAAGGATGATTATCTTCTCAAGTTTACATGAGTAAGGAAGCGTTAAATGAATGGCTACAATTTTTCTTTCATCTTATTTGAGAATGAAGAAACTTTCTTCAGTGAAATATAGATGTACATAGCATGTATTATGCTCTCTATTGGAGAAGAAAACAACACTTATATATGAATTTGATATTTTTTTGTAGAATTTTTTTTTTCAATGTTTGGAAACCATGTAAGGTTTTTTGTAAATATTGATTGCATGTATAAAATTAAGCTGGTGCCCAGCTTCTTAGTAGCTGTTTTATGGAATTTAGAACTCTTTAGTGGCTGACGGAGAATAGAGCTTCGGCTGATGGGATCGATGGTGGTGCCTTTATTAGAGATCCGTGTCTCATGCCTCAGATCTAGATGATATTGGACCAGATCTCTTTTTCCTTGCTGTTCTTTCTGCGTTTAAAGCAGTGATATTCACAAGTCCCGATGTTATGCTGCTGGGTTGCAATATAATGTTACATTTTCACAATTTCTGCAGATAAATTGATGGTTTCAGCTTTTAAACTTTATCCTGCTCACGCTTACAGCTTAGACATCTGATCTTGTTCCAGCTTCCAACATGTTATGAAGATTGAAAATGGAATGGTAAATCTGCTCGTTGTACTGATTATCTGTTCTTCGTTGTCATATCTAGGCCTTTGCCATGGTGGGTGCGCTCTCATGGCAGGCCATCGAACCTAATAAAATATATATTTTATTGGTGTGTTGGTTGGGAGATCGCACGGGGCTGGATTTTTTTCCCCCGGGTTCTCCCTCACCTGGTCTTCTAGCTTTTTCGCTTCATCTCTGGTTTGCCTAATATTGCCCTCTATGTTTAGTGCTGGTCAATCAACTTAGACGTGACGGTCGCATGGATTGAAGTTTAAACTCTGAATCGGTAACCGAATGCTATCATTCTAACTGGATGGAGAATAATTGAGGTTTTGAAGAACTTCGCAAGGTATAAACAGTTATTAAACTTCGAACTAATCAGTACTGGCTTACATTTTTATTTGTTAGGCAACTTTCTCGTGAAAAGTGATGAAATAATCCTATCCTAATATTTTGGTGCTACATTCGTTCGGTATTAGACCCAAGCAATTCTAAATATTTATTTTCACAAAAAAAATAACGGATTCATAACTGTTGCCTAAATATTGATTGGAGGAGCTATACACTGTTTCGTACTTTTTGATCTTTAGTTATTTGTGCTGTTGTTCCCCTTATTTTTTTTTAGGTCTTTAGGCTTTGTTTATAGTTTTAATTGGTGTTTGAAACTGTTTCTGCTAGTTCAACTACTTTAAATTCTAGTTGGTTGCTAGTTTTTAGATCTGGAGTTTCTTTGTTCTTGTGAGTTACAACTCCTATTGTATTTACGAGTTTCTGATGCTTGGCTTTGCGTTCCAGATGTACAAATACTTGCAAGGTATAAACAGTTATTGTCTCCTAAAAAAAGAAAGAAATTATTAATAATTTTTATATTAAATAAAAGCTTATTTTATTCTGCAATAATTCAACGTTTAATTTTTAAAATCGATGGGTGGGTTATTTTAATTTCAAGCTTGATTATGAAGGTTACGCGCTATGTTTCGTAAACGCCATGGGATTTTTCATAATGATATCACCTGAACCATCTGCAGGAACTCGATCAGTGGTAAAGCTTGCTTATGTTATAAAAAAAATTCAAGTTAATTGCGGTTGTGTCTCAGTTCAAGCTATTTTAACCCATTGTTTGTTTATCGTGTGCTGGTAGCTTATTTTTGGTACTTCACTTCAGTAGACAGAATGTCGACTTTTTTAAACTGCACCTGTTTGTTGGTGTTGTTGCCTTTTTTGTTATTATGGCTGTATTTGATCATTTTGGTTGCTTATTAAACGAATCGATGGCAGATCCTTTTATTTAATATTCAATACACATTAACTGGATATTGAAGATTACGTTAGAAATGTATTCATAGGAGAGAATTTATTTGTTGTTCCCCATAATTGAAAAAGCTACTACGCGTTGAGATTGAATTAAAGTTTATTGTTCTTTGAAGTATCTGAAAATTACTCATCTCTGATGTTCCCTTAAACTCTGCTAATCATTCAACGTAATTGATCACTCAAATGTTAATTGTTTGGAGCAAAAATGTGTAAATATTTTTTTAACTATGGTTAAATGAAAATTTTTCATTTCTTATTTAGGCAACTTTTGGGGCGGCTAGCTGCTTTTTAGCTCAAAAATTTAAATTTAAATGCTGAGATTATTTCTGTCGCCTTATTTAAAATAATGTATGGGTAGCAATCATCCCCAAAATATACTAAGCTATTGCTACCGCGTCTGCTATTAAGGCTTTGTTTCGGAATGTTTTTGAACTATTATTTTAAATAGTCATATGCTACGTAAAATTTGTAGTCTAAAAAAAAGATTTTGTAGAAGTTTTGAAGCAGCAGTGAAAAAGTCTTTCCAAACTAAGCTTAAAAGATGCCAATATAATCATAAACTGCAAAGTAGGTTTAAATGCAAAATCAGTAGATAATGTGAAACGAGCAATTTAATATAAGACAATATGAGAGTTTTCCGCCATTTTCGGTTGCTCCAGTTTTCATGTTGCTGAAACAATCTGTCATATATTCTTCACAGGTCTAGTATTTTCTTCCATGCAAAGAGAGCTTTTGATGAAGGTGTTTGGCAATCCTTTCTTAGGCAACCCTGTGCCCTGTCGAGCATGCCCTAGAGGGGTTTGTTTGCCGTATCACCTATGATCTATGTTTTAAATTACTGTCGTAATTGGTTTCTCTTGTAATGTATCTGAATTTTTTTGTAAAATCTTCTAGCAATTGAAATTTTGTCAAGAAAAAAAATTGGTATGGATTTTTGCATAGTAAGCTTAAATTATTTTCAATAGACCAACCTGTACTTCCACTATCAATATCTAATGTTTTTTTTAATTATTAATTATCTACTCATTTGCTTGTTTGACGGCAAGAAAAAACATTGAGAAAGTATTAAGTGTTATTTTTTTTGCTTATTTTTGTTGAAATAAATTAAAAATCATTTTGATATGTTTATTTTTTAACTTAAACATATTAGCTTGAGATTTATGACAACTTTTGTAGTAAATCCTATATTTTAGAAGAGAAATTTTGATCCTCAACATTTAAATAATATTTAAGAAGTTATTATAAGTTTAATTTATTATCTGTCATTGTTATAACATAGATGTTGTTCTTCTCTAGTTATGATTTTTTTTTATGGCATTGTAGATATTAGTTTTACATGCTGATTTCTAAAGAATCTTATAGATATATTTGGCTAATTTATAAATATTTTTTATATTTGTATCATTATATTATTATATTATAAAAATTTGTAACCATTAGATTTTATTAAATGCAATTTCTTCACGTTCCATCAGAAAATAGGGAATGAGAAATGGATTTTTAAAACATATGAGACGAGAGGAGAAAAATTTGGATTTGAGGTTGTAGAGTTATTTTTGTTAGTCGGTCTATCTAGGAAAATTGTGTGGATCGGGTTAGATTATTATTTTTTGTTATGTTCGTTTTTAATAATTTAGAGTTTTTTTTGAATTTTTCTGATCAAATTTATAATATTGTTTTACAAAAAATGCAATTTTATCAGATTCTTGCTACTTTCATCCATATAACTTTTGATATGTTGCTGGTACAACCTTTCTAGTTGTTTTTTTTAGTATCTATTTAAAGTTTTTCATAGGGTAATTTTGAAAAGTAACATTTTGTCAATTTAAAAATTTATTTTAACATCTAAAAATAAAAATTTAATTCAGTTCAAAGCTTCAAAATAGCGTTATACATGATCTTTGGTATTTTGATTATTTTTCTAAAATATAAATTTATGTTCTAATAGGATTTTCTATGTCCTATAATTAATGCACATTATAAGGCATCTTGACAAGTTCTTAAATAAGTTCAAATTTACTTTACTTATTGTACTGCATTGTGTTGTAGTCTTAGAAATCCACAACAATAGAGTACAAAGCTTTTACATCTTAGCGATGTACGAAAATTTTGCTCACAAACAAAGGATAATGTAATACTGATTTTTTGGTAGAAAACCTTTGGAAAGAAAAAAAATCATAGGTATTGGCCGATTGAAAAGATTTCACTAATATTTGAATAGATGTTAAGATTGGACTCGTCCCTCTACTTGAGGATAATAATAATACAATGAATTCGAAAATAGATGGTGATAATCAGTAGATGGATAGAAGTTGGTATATATTATTCGTAGTCTATATTATTCTCTACTCAAAGGTAGGTAAATGAATGAACATATTTTAAACAATTTATTAAATATAACTCTAATGCCTCATTTCTCTTTTAAATTACACCAATTAAAAAATGTCTCTAATATATTAAAACAAAATTTTCTTCGTAACGAAAATATTATTATTTGTAATTTATGATAAACACTAATAGAATCATTTTAACTAAGTCATGCCTCTTAATTTCAGAAAACTTTAAGAATAAGCATGATTAAAAATTGTATTAACAATTTAATCATGTTTTTTAAAAAATTAAATTTAGGCAAAATGGCTTGTTTAAACGGTGACTTATGCTAACTAGGATTGAGTTGTTATGCTGAGTTGGCAAAAAAAAAATGTTTTTATTAATATGTCGGCCGGATAACAGAAGACTTATAAATCGCCCGTTTAATGGGCGACTTATCCTATAATTAAAAAAAAATTAATTAAAAAAAATTCTACAAGGTAGGAGGACTGTTAAAGAATATTATGTAAATAGAATTAAGGGATTTTATGTTAATGATAACTGGATGATAATGATATGATCTTTGATAAATATTTGGAAGCTATGTGATTTTGAACACTCTAGATATATATTTAATAATCATATTTTTATATGTGCCCTTAAAGGGGTGTCAATAAAAGTGGGTTAATTAATCAAAAATTAAAATAATAAATTTTTTATAGCTGCTTACACTATTTAGCCCCTAAAATATTAGTACTATGAAAAAAATTATATGTTGCTCAATTTTGTTGCATGTCTTTGCACTTGGTGTTATTATGAATGAATCAATGTTTGAATGAATAAACAATTTTGACAATCCAATTTTGACAAACCATGTAGATTGTGGAAGGAGTGTTTTTCATTTTTGAATGCTAATGTTAATCAGTATGAGTCAATAAATGAGATTTATTTTATGATTCATAACATAAGCATACTGAAATTAAATAATTCATAACATAAGGATACTAAAATACATAAAAGGATGAACTAGCATCGCTTACGTGGCTTTTGTGGCAATGCATCAGTGCCTGGAGTGTAATGTTGTGGAGGTCGTCGTGGCCTTTGACGTAGCATGTGATTTTTCTCAGCAACTTCTTCCTTAGCTATGTCATCTCTATGAAGGGAGTTCGATACAAAATTTGGGGTGAGGTATGCATTCGGGCCTCTTGATTAGGATAATAGTAAGGTCCAGCATATCCACTGTAATGTTGAGGAGGTTCCTAGGTCATGGAAAATTGTATATCATGCTCACTTCTATCCTCAAAATATCTTTGATCTTGAATATACAACTGTGTACGTAATCCACAACAAAGCTCTGCCACTGTGTTTATGTCCCTCTATTATTATGTATAATTTGTACCATTGAAGTGTTGTTGCAAAGCATGTTCAGTACTAAGGAAAAAATCCCTCTGAATTAACAAAAGAAATTTGTTATTATTTTAACAAAAAGAAATTATTTAAGAAATTTATAGCATATTTAATTTAAATCTACCAGAAGGCGCTTAGAGGGAGCTCTAGGATATGTCGTAGTGGGAGGCTCAACAGGTGCCTTCAACATGTATAGTGTTGCCCATGACTTGTAGCACTGTATGTAGTGATGAATGGAGTAGTTATTGTGCTGGTCAAGGAGGTCCCCTGTAACTATGTATCCACGCCTACTCTCTCATATGGCAATGTGTGCTTGATGGTACAATATACAGTCCATGTCTGGTTTCCCACTACCATCTACCCTTTTGAAGCTTGGATCCATTGGTTGGATGTTAGTAGTTGGGCATAATCCAAATTGTCGTAGTACTTTATCTGGCAAGTGCCACTCAGCCCTCTTTTAATTGATCAGAGGCACTCATGCAGTCCAAATGTCCTCCCCTGACAGACAAATCTGTGCGACCTGAGCTTGAATATCAGGCGTGTATGACTGCCAAATTACCTGCATTTTCAATAATAAGTTATATAAGTTTGAAATAACAAGTTAATTTTTCATTTCAAAACTTTAAGAAGATACATGACTATCAAGTAAACCATCGAGCTCATCTCTATAGCTAATGATATTTCCAATAGGTAACTCTTTTAGTCGATCCTCATTCCACCTATTACATTAATATTATAAATAAATAAGATTTTATTGCATGTAGTATTAAAAAAATTGATTAAATAGAATTATCTCATACCTGAACCCAACACTAAGACCATGAAATTCCACTGGAAAGGAAACACGAAGCAATGTCGTCCTACATGCAGATGCTCCCAAGCCTAGATTTGTCCAGAATAGTCTTTGAAACCTATGTCTATGTGCTTTGAATTCTATATACCGTTCAAGGCATTGCAGAGGCAACAACATCCATGAACAGATTAAGAGTACGATAAGACTCCTCCTAATTAACTGCCAAAAACAAATTTAATTGCCTTCCTCTGAGCATCCCAAGCCTTCATGTATGACACTTTAATATTAAACTTCGATTCCATACGACCAGTTATCTCCCTTGGCTTCAAGTCCATCTGCTTTCTAATTGTGGGTAGAATATAACAATTTATAAACTGTGAGTTGCATTGACGGTGGCCACTTTCAAGAATTGGAGACACACATGTATGCTGGTTATTTATGGATGAGATTTTCCATATACTGCCTAAGCGTTTACTCTGAGCAGAATGAAGTCTCCTAAGCAAGGATATATCAGGCAATCATGCTTTGCACAAACAATTGTAAATTTCTTTGTATTCGATGCGATCACAATATATTTCACATTATTTTTAATTGCCCAGTCTTGTAACGCAAATTGCATATCAGTCTTTCTTGTGAAGCACATTCCTTCAATTAAGTTGTTCGGAATCTAGAATTCATCCTCTATTATCACCGCATCATAATCATCATCAAAGTCAACTTCCCGATCTCATTGTTGTGTTGTCCTACAAGTCTCGGCTTAGTCATTATTTGCCACCATTGTATCCTTACTGTCGATTGATCTAGAACATTAATCTAGAACATTAATCTTGGATAATATTTCTAATCTCCTCATTATCAACTGCATCTCCATCGTTAGGCACTGGTAAAAGATTAGCACCATCATCATCAGAGCACTGCTCAGTAGAGCCACTACTCATAGTCTCATAATCGCTATGATATGAAAGGACTGATTGTGTAGACGCTAATGGAGGTTCCTGCGTCTATTGATTCTCAATATCACTATATTGAAAAAATTATTTATCATTTATTAATCAATAATACATATTTATAGAGATCTATTTGGGAAACATGATATAGGAAACTCACTAATGAAGGGCTTCTTCTATTGGTTCTACCCTTGAAGGACTAGTAACCACATCATCCCTTTCAACTTGGGTTGAAGTTGCTTATCTTTGTGAATTTGGAGGCTCAATGTTATCTTCACTCACATTTTTTTCTTCAACATCAACATACATGATGAGAAATTCTGTTAAGTAGACAATTGTTT